GAGATACTGCTACCAGGCGCGTCTCCCCGAGCGGATGAGAGAACGCTCGCTGTCCTTCGATGACACTTGGATAATCTCTTAATCTGGAACCCTGCCGCTTAGAGTACTAGCAGAGGAGAGACGGGCCCTTTACCAACGAAAAAGGTCAACTACACTGAGTCCTGAAGAATTTAGAACAGAAGAACGGCAGCACAGCATCTCGCGATGGCAACTTGAGTGTGACGCCGCAGCAAAAGGAAGATGGACATACTGCCTCATACCAAAGATCGATGTTTGGCTGAACTGAAATCATGGCGAAGTCAACTATTATCTACCGCAGATGTTGTCTGGACATGGGTGCTTTCGAGAGTACCTGCTCCGCTTTAAGCATGACGATTCTCCGGAGTGCCCGTCTTGTACAGTAGTTATTGAGGACGCAGAGCACGTTTTCTTTGCGTGTCCACGTTTTGATCCTCAGCGAAATGAGTTAGAAAGGATCCGGAAACGGAGAATCCAACCAGAGACAATTGTAGAGACAATGTTGTCGAGTCAAACTGCTTGGAACGCTACAAGCACTTTTGCCACAGAAGTCCTTACAGAGCTGCGTTCCATTGAAAGAAATAGAGCGAATGACAGAAACTAGAAGGAAGAAATAACATCTTAGTCACCAGAAGGAAGAGCGGCAGCTAATTCCTCCCCCTGCGAAGAAATGCCTTACGGCGGTACCATGGGGGATGAGAGGATAGAAGAGAAAGGGGTTTAGGGTTTAGTGGTTAGGGGCGTCAGCGTCAAGTTTTAGTATGACGCTGTGTCGAGTCGCCACATATCCGGGCCAACATCTATGCCTAGAATCCGTAAAAAGCCCCCCCCCAAAAAAAAAAAAAACACACACACACACACATACAGACCTTCAAACGTCGAGATTTGATGAAAACTCGATTTTTGTAAAACGGGGTGAAAACAATAACTTCCCGATTTTTGAAAATCTGAGATTTTTAGTGGGAAGTTAAAAATAAATTTTTTTTTTCTTTCTGATGATGTCCAAAAATCGAAAGTATACTTAAAAATAAAATTTTTGGTGCCAATCCATTTTTCTATTTTCCATTTGAATAAAGAAAAAATATTTTTTAATTTTTAATAACTCTACACAAAAGGCATTAAGCGAAAACATAGCTTAAATTACAATAGACAACGTATTGATTAAGAATTTCAAGTATTTCCTCAAGGACACCAAAATAATTTCATTATCTTTGTTATTATTATATATATTTGAACATCACTCAAATCCTGTTATATTTGCACCACAAGACATTTTTTTCAAAATAAATTCGATAAATTATTAAAATAATCCATAACATTCTGGTAAACATTTTCGGAATTGTTAATAGGTTTATTATAAATACTTTATTGAATTTATACTTCTAGTATTGAATATTTTTGTTTTAAATTATTCAATAGAATGCGGATTTGATGATAGAACCATGTTGGAAGGTTGGAGTAGTCGAAAAAACTAATGCGGACAATACATCAATAACATCAGCACTTTTTCGCTTAGTTGACCAAGGCATGCACGAAGAAATAATAATTGATGGCTTAGATATAAAGAGTGTTGGTCTCCAGGATTTACGATCGAACATATCGATTATTCCAAAAAATCCCTTTTTATTTACTGGGACACTAAGATTTAATCTTGACCCTTTTCAACAATATACCGATAAAGCAATATGGGGTGTATTAGGGGAAGTTGAATTAAATGGCATCACACTCAATCAGTGGGTTACTGACGGAGGAAGAAATTTCAGCATTAATGAACGTAAACTTATTTGTCTTGCCCGAGCATTGTTACGGAGTAATCGGATACTTGTTCTTGATCAAATCACCGATGGTCTTGATTTAAAGTTAGTATTGTCATTATGACCTATGTAATAACAATAACAAATATGCCACCTCCTTGATGATTTATAACACTGGACTTTTTTTTATAGCACGAAAATTATAATCCAGAGAGTGCTTCAGTCATATTTCAAGTATTGCACAATAATAACTATAACAAATCATCTCGAATCTCTGATAAGTGGTGATTTGATTCTTGTAATGGATAATGGACGATTATTGGTGATTGTATTTACATATCTTCCTTTTTTTATTGAAAAAATTGATTTGATATTGTAATTTTTTATTTTTTAGGAATTTGGAAGTCCATATGAATTATTAATAATGCGAATCAATAGTCATTTTGGTCAAATGATTAAAAAGTATAATCAGACAATGGTTGAATGCATTATTCAAAATGTTATAAAATATCACGCTCAACAAAGAAGATATAATTCAAGAAAAAAATAATTATTGAGAATTAAACGAATTTTTAAGTTTTTTCCTTTGTGAAAATATTTATCTGATAAAATTGAGAATAATAATTTTTTATAAATATGAATAATAGTTCTTGACTTTTTACTTTTTCTTAAAATGCATTGGTAAGTTGGAAAAACTTTTAATTTGTCATAAAAATTCAGAGTATTTGCAAAATTTCGGACTTCAGAAGGAGTTAAAATCGAACTACATGTAGAAAATTTGTGTGGTTATGAAAGTAATATTCGTAGATTTTTTTTATCTGCGAAAATAGTTACAATTTTTATTAAAAATATGAGGATTAGCACATCAAATACAAAATAGAATCCTAAAAAGAAAATTTTGATTTTGATATTTGTTGTCTATAAAAATTGCAATTGTTATTGATAATAACAAAAAAAAAAGTCATTCGGCATCCGAAATGGAAATAGATTTCTTGAATAGTGTTTTTTTTTTTTTGGTTTTTCTGTGACTAATAACCTTCATAAAATCTCTAAAGATCTTCGTGAAGTATGAGTTAGGCAGATCAAATTGAACAGCATGTAATTAGCCTTAACAAAATATTTTCAGGAATAAGGTATTTCTTCTCAATCAAAAGTTAATAAAAAAAGAAGTTCGTTATTCAAGTTTTATACAGATCCTATGGGTACACTTACTGCGTGATTACTTAAATTTTACGATGTTACACTATAAAAATGTTTGTCAAATTGACCGTATAAAAAAACTAGTCCTGAATTACGATGTTACAATTGTAATTTGTCCTACATTTTTTTTCCGTGTAGTTTCAACTTTATCTCATATTTAAGCTCATTATTATTGAGTATGATAAGTTTAATTGTCATAATGAGAAGCATGTGACACGATGAATTACTAATAAAAAAAAAAAATAAATAATGCAAGTGTACAGTGATAAATATAATGTTACAAAGCTTTTTCATAATTTTTATAAAATTACTCTCGGTCAGGTAATTTTTAAGTACACCTGCACTTAAAAAATTATAAAAAATACATGTGAGTTCTGCGAGGCAATAAAGCGTGATTACACCGGCACACAAAAAAAAAAAAGTGGAATGTACTTTGGACCGGACCTACCTACCGACATGTATTTCGACCCGCTGAATCCGAATTTCAAGTCCGTTTGGCCCGGTCACCCTCCAGTTTTGAGTAAAATGCAAAAAACCTCAAAAAAGGGCAAAAAATTGCAAAAAACTGCAGTCACAGCAATAAAAAAATTTTTGTGGACCCGGATCACGTATGATTTTTATGTATTTCAATTTACTAAATCTAAATCTAAAAGTTACTAAGCCCGATGAGCCGTTCAAATTTGAAAAATAACGAAAAACCCAAAAAAATTTCAAAAAATCATGAAAAATTGAAGTTTTCGAAATAAAATTCGTTTTAGACTCAGATTGAGTATGATTTTCATGTATTTTGTTCCGCTGAGTTTGAATCTGAAGTTTTTTTTCCCCGCTAACGTTTTAAAATTAAAAAAAATCTCAAAAAACCAAAAAAATTGGGAAATGTGCAGTTACAAATATGAAATAAAAATCTATAAAACATGATTAAATACTTTTCTTGTATTTTTTCACGCATAAAATACAAGTTAAAAATCTGAAAATATGAAAAATTGTAATTTCTATAAAAAATGACGTATAATTAGAATAAAGTGAACGATTTTCTCGAATTTCAAAATGTTCTTCGTTGGTATCGAACTCTTTTGTTCTCAAACGATCTACGCAGTGGATTTTTCTTCCGTTTGTTATTATCTCTTGGTGTATCCCTTTCAGTGGTGGTCCAGTGAACCACTACTATGTGTACTACTATTGTTTCCAGTATTTGAAAGAAAAATTTTCTGTGATAAGTGATGCAAAATCAAAAGAAGGAATTTTTGATGGATCCCAAATTCGAACTCTATTTCAGGATCCAAATTTTATAGAGTAAATGAACGAGACGGAGAGAGCAGCTTGGGTAAGTTTCGAAAATGTGTCAAAACTTTTTAGGAAATCAAAGAAACGAAAACAACAGGACGTTAGTAGAAAAATTGGTGACAAATTACAAAAATTTAGTTTTCTTAATGAACCTCAAACTACACTTCATGGATTCTCACATTGACCACTTTCCTGAAAATCTTAGAGACTACAATGAAGAACAGGAAGAATGATTCCATCAAGACATAAGTGAAATGGAGACTAGGTATCAAAGAAATTGGAATATTAATACGATAGCAGATTTTTGTTGGATACTTAAAAGGGATACACCAAGAGATAATAACAAACGGAAGGTAATAACAAAAGGAAAAAAATTCACTGCGTAGATCGCTTGAGAACAAAAGAGTTCGATACCAACGAAGAACATTTTGAAATTCGAGAAAATCGTTCACTTTATTCTAATTATACGTCATTTTTTATAGAAATTACAATTTTTCATATTTTCAGATTCTTAACTTGTATTTTATGCGTGAAAAAATACAAGAAAAGTATTTAATCATATTTTATAGATTTTTTTTTTTCATATTTGTAACTGCAATTTTCCCGATTTTTTTGGTTTTTTGAGATTTTTTTTAATTTTAACACGTTAGCGGGGAAAAAAAACTTCAGATTCAAACTCAGCGGAACAAAATACATGAAAATCATACTCAATCCGAGTCTAAAACGAATTTTATTTCGAAAACTTCAATTTTTCATGATTTTTTGCAATTTTTTTGGGTTTTTCGTTATTTTTCAAATTTGAACGGCTCATCGGGCTTAGTAACTTTTAGATTTAGATTTAGTAAATTGAAATACATAAAAATCATACGTGATCCGGGTCCACAAAAATTTTTTAATTGCTGTGACTGCAGTTTTTTGCAATTTTTTGCCCTTTTTTGAGGTTTTTTGCATTTTACTCAAAACTGGAGGGTGACCGGGCCAAACGGACTTGAAATTCGGATTCAGCGGGTCGAAATACATGTCGGTAGGTAGGTCCGGTCCAAAGTACATTCCACTTTTTTTTTTTTTGTGTGCCGGTGTTATCAAGAGAAATCACTTGTTGATCGAACTTAGGTTTAAAAACTTCAATCAATACATAGAAGCTTAAATCTTCGGCAGTGTAACAAAATACTTGCCATTAGTTCATTTTTCTTTAAGTTTTTATCTTTCCTTTACATGAACATAATCATTGTGTTGGTGGGTATTTTGCCGTGATACTAAATCTTCAAACATCAAGATGAAGTTATTCAGACACTTACTTATACTTTGCCTTTTGTTTATATTACCTTGGACACACAGTGAATTACTCCAATTCAAAAACTTCTCACTAATTCATCGAAAAATGGTAAGTAAAATGAAAGGAAGAAATTCTTTAATTTGATTGTTAAAGTTATTGCTTTAAATTATAATTTGACTTTCCGTTAATAATAGGAATCAATATCAATAGAATCGTGCATTTCTGAAAATTTGAATCCAATCGTCGTATCGAATGACATCAGAAATGTTATTGGTGAATCATTATGGACGAAAGAAATTATACCAACAATTTCAATCGCCGAGAACTTCGGAATCAGTAATGATAGTGTAATTTTTTTTCCAAAATTACCAACATACATTCTGTCTACAAACGATCTTCAAAACATCCTTCAAAAAATAAAATCTTCACCATGGTGGAATATAAAATCTTATTTTATCATCGTAGAAGTTTCTCAAAACTGTAATGATAATGATGCATGGAATAAACTTCAAGTCATGCGGAAGATGAATTTACTCTCATCCCTATTTATTTGTCGTGACACTGATAACACTGTTACATTGTATACGTACAATCCTTATGCTAATTATGCACCACAACCATGGCAATATGTGAACACTATATTCAAGAAGCAAGGTCAGCAATGGACGCTATTTAAGAAGTTGGACTCATCAGGTATATCAATCAATATTTGTTCCATAGAAAAATTGATAAGATCTCAAAAATCAACTAATGTGCTAATTTAATTCTTGATTTTTTAATTAGATTGGCATGGATGTAAAGATTTGTTTTTTGATAAGACAAAACTCCTAAATGGATCTGAAGTGATCGCTGTAAAATCGCATTTACTACATCCAATGAAAGTGGAGATCGCATATGATGTCGACTCAATAAGAAATTTACTGCCAAACTCTGTAACAAAAACTTTCAAGGAAATTTTTTCTGTTTTGAACGTGAGACCCATAATTTATTACACTGATCCCGAAAAAGCGAAAGGAGTTACATTTCAAACCCGCGAACACTTTCTCAATGATTTGGTCAATGGTCGATATGATATTGCCTTAAAATTTTATACTATCACGGATGATACTTTTGACTTTCTTTATCCAAGAGTTCCCGAAATTTTTTTAATAGTCACCCATCACCGTAAAGTTCTCTTGTCTTTAGATAAAATGGAATCTGTTTTTAATACAGAAGTAATGATTCTTACTGTTATTGTTTTTGCAATAACGTGGATTGTATTGACACTCTGTAAAAGGCTGTCAGTCGGATCAGGGTTACTCGAAATTTTGCGATTAATATTAAGCACAAGTATTCTTTTAAAATTCTACAGAAGTTCACTTAAAATTTTTATGATTTCCATACTTGTTTTTGTTATGTTTATGAATAGTATTTATCAAAGCCATATGTCAGCATATTCAACAAAATTATACCGGGAAGAGATAAATAGTATCACCGACTTACAAAATTTAAAATATACTATTTATATAAAACCATATCTTACAAAAATTTTTGGAGTTGATTTATGGACAGATACTCACAAAAAATATGTTCAATTCGTAAAATTTGATTCTTGTAAAAGCGTTATTAACGGTAATGACTCTCGCACAGCGTGTCTTACTCGTATTGGCGCATTAAAGAAAACGTTAGATCGAAATTTACGTGTATGTTTACACAGTATTCAACAATTTCGTAGTCTAGCAATTCGGAATGACTGGCCTCTTAAACCTCGAGTTGACCATATAATGTCACAATTGTCTAAAGGGGGTTTTTTGCAGTTGTGGGAGGACTTAAAAGGCAGTGAGCTACAGAGAAAAATAGAATTTAAAGAAAGTGAAACATTCGATCGGTATCGACCAATTGTTTTATCAGATTTATATTCTATTTTCTTATTATTTTTTATTTTTTTAGCGATATCATTTCTGGTTTTTATTGTTGAAGTTTCTGTCGCACGATTGCGCGCATATATGGAATAAATATAATTATCAATAATGAATTATGACTCATAAAACTTATGAGAACCATTGAATGTTTAGAAATTATATAAGAAATATATATTAAAATTCTCAATAAGTTTAATTCTTGTTTTTTGTGAGCATGTTAACTTTGAAATAATTTTAGATAACAATTCTTCAATTGCATCGATTAATTTGTCGACAATTATCAAGAAAGTATGTTGTTAAAAATTTAGAGTGTTCTCGACGCATACTGCTATTGACTTGAAACGGCGACGGTTAAAGTTTGAGATTTATTAATTGTTGCAGCAAAAATTTTCTGATTTCAGTAGAATAAAAATTTTTCTTATTTTAATAATCTATTTTATTCAATTGAGATAAAATTATTTCAAGTCAGGTATGAAATTATAATTGACTCAACAATAAAAAGTTTTATGTCAAAAAATTCAAGGAAATAATTTTCTTGGGCTAAGAAAATTTTTGTTTCAAATTCAAAATGCAAAAAGTTTTATCAGTTCAAGAAAAAATTTCTTAAGTCAAGGAAATCTTTCTTGCTGGATATTAATAATTATTTCAATTAGGATATACTTGTAAATTTTTGAAATTTGATGATTATAATATTATCTAATGCAATCGAAAAGTGTTATTCGTTTTAAAAATAAGCAAGTAATTTGTTGAATTATTTCAGACTCCCGTAAGGAATTAAAAGAAATAAATAATTGTCATTAAGTATATCATTACACATTAATTAATTCTGTTCAATATTGCCTTCAAATGAATATTATTGTGGAACAAATAATATTTTATTGGTAAACAAGGTGTTATAAAGCGTTCATTTAGTGATAGTATTAACATAATTTCAGATACTTGTGATGTGACGAATTGTTAACATTTTTGTTACTATATTTCTTATCTATAATTGAAGAATCATTTTATTTTTTATTTAAAAACGTTTTAACCGTCCCCTATTTAACTTAAATAACTATTGATGAGCTGAAAAAAAAATGATTCGCTTTTTTAGTTTTAAGAATTTTTTTTTTACAGTCGAAGCATAGAATTGTTAAGTTAAAAGTATTCAATGTTAAACAATAGATTGTACGTTTTTGACGTTAGAGAAGTAGTTTAAATGTTTTTAACATGTTTAAAATACAAACAAAACCTATTTTTACTTGAAATGAAAAAATACTAGCACACTATTTGTAAAAAATTAAATGCTATTAGGAAATATCATTTTGTAATGCAGAAGACTTTTCCTAAAAATTACTTTTTTTGCGATATGTCACAGACTAAGATCGGTATTGGATCAAAATTCTTATTCTTATTAAAATGAGTATTGATTCTATATTTGAAAAAAATATTAAAAGTTACGATTTAGAATTTTTCATTTTAGATAGTTTTGTTAACTATAAGTTATTGCAGCCGACTCCACTTGATAAGCTTAATTACAAATATCACGTGAAACGATTGACCTAATTACTTCATCCATGACAATAACAAAGTTGTTATAAAAAATGAATCAGCCAATAATCGATGATCTCTAATCTCTGTCATATGAAAGAACATTCCACCGAGTAATTATTTTCGATAAAACCAAACAATATATATTCTATACCTACTCATCCACCTCGGTCGTACTGAATATTCGACTGTCCTAGTCAAAATTCGAATATCATAAGTTTCAATTCAGCATAATGATCTGCAGAATTTTTCCTTGTATTTTGATAGTAGCAATATCAATTGTGAGCGCCGATTATTCTTGTCCGGAACCGACTCGGGAATTGAAACTCTCGATTCATGATCCTGATGTGGTGCGATTCGCACAAGACGCTTGGAATGAATTCAAAAAGTATAGATCTGACTGCGGACACCCCCTCAGCCAAACTGAAATCAGCTGGGCTGCAGTATTGGTTGTCGCTCACGAAAGGAGATACACCATAGTAGCATCTTATAGGTTTGATGATTCAGTACCTTATGAGTTTGAGTGTCTCATACTTGTTCAGACAGAAAGGTCTGATCCCCTCTTAGTGGCTTGCAGCAAAATTGAGACCATAAATAATGTAAGTAAATAGCACATAGTTATTCATTTCGCGTGACTGATGTCATAAGGGCGTATCTTGAAAAAAATACCCTTGAAAAGCCATAAGGGCGTATAAAAAATTTTTTTCCGGGAATCGAAGTAGTTATGCCTTAAACGGGCAGAACTGAAAAAAAAAATTTTGGTACGCCCTTATGGCACCCAGGGTACTTACCGGGAGCCATAAGGGCGTACCAAAAAAATTTTTTTTTCGGGAAACAACGTATTTCTACTTGAAACTCGTAGAAATGACGAAAAAAAAATTTTTCCAAATTTTAAATTTTTTGGTACGCCCTTATGGCACCCGGGTGCCATAAGGGCGTATAATAGGCTGATACACCCTTATGGCATTTGTAACGCGATTTATTTAATAGACTTGTTGACAATCATAATATTAACTATTTCTGTTATATTTAGAAATTGGTCTACAATAAGGCACTTACAGATGTAATGACATACATGCAAAGAATTCTTCACGTAGATTCATGAAACGTAAAAAATAAACATTATATTTTTTAAATATTGTCATGGGTTGTGAAAAAATTTATTTGCTATGAAATAAGTATGTATATAATGATACTCAATTAATGTAAGAAATTATGTACACAATTAAATGATAAAAAATTATATGCTATTCTCCAATTCATATGCACCTCACATTTAATATACACTTCTCACAAAAATTGAGAGAGCAAGAAAAAAATCCAAATTTTTGGAGGCTTCTTAACAGGCTGCAACTTGAAGAAAAATGGTTGTACAGCGAATAAAAAAAACAAATTGTAGCTCCAAAATAAGTGTCTAGTTCTTAATTTTGCGTTCCAAATTTTGGTGAGTGTGAATCGATTTGATTTTATTTTTTTAAAATAAACCAGTTTCAACTTTATCTCATATTTGAGCTCATTATTATCATGTATGATAAGTATGTCATAATTGGAAGCGTGTGAAACGATGGAACACTAATTGAGAAAGAAATAAATCATGCGAATGTACATTGGTAAATGTATTGCAGCAGAGCTTTCTCATGATTGTTATAAAATTGCTCTCGGCGAGGAAATACTAAAGTACACCAGCACTTGGAAATTTATAAAAAATTCATGCAAGTTCTGCATGGTTATAGAGCATGATTATAAAGAGAAATCAGTTGTCGATCGTACTTGGATTTGAAAACTTCAATCAAAACGTTGAAACATTAAATCTTTGGCAGCGAAGTAAAATACCTAACATTCAAATCTTAGCAACTAATTGTCGTATAAAAAATTAAAGCGTAGTTTTTCAAAAAGTACAAAAAAAAATTTACAAGAACCTGCCATATTTATTTTTTTTCTTCCTTTACATTAACGTAGTCGTTTTGTTTGCGGGTATTTTGTCGTGATACACAATTTTCAAATATCAAGATGAAAATTTTTAGACACGTACTTATACTTTGCCTTTTGTTTATAATACCTTGGACACACAGTGAATTACTCCAATTCAAAAACTTCTCACTAATTCATCGAAAAATGGTAAGTAAAATGAAAGGAAGAAATTCTTTAATTTAATTGTTAAAGTTATTGCTTTAAATTATAATTTAACTTTCCGTTAATAATAGGAATCAATATCAATAGAATCGTGCATTTCTGAAAATTTGAATCCAGTCGTCGTATCGAATGACATCAGAAATGTTATTGGTGAATCATTATGGACGAAAGAAATTATACCAACAATTTCAATCGCCGAGAACTTCGGAATCAGTAATTATAGTGTAATTTTTTTTCCAAAATTACCAACATACATTCTGTCTACAAACGATCTTCAAAAAATCCTTCAAAAAATAAAATCTTCACCATGGTGGAATATAAAATCTTATTTTATCATCTTAGAAGTTTCTCAAAACTGTAATGATAATGATGCACGGAATATACTTCAGGTCATGTGGAAAATGAATTTACTGTCATCCTTATTCATTTGCCGTGGCACTGATAACAAAGTTACATTGTATACGTACAATCCTTATGCCAATTATGCACCACACCCATGGCAACATGTGAACACTATATTCAAGAAGCAAGATCAGCAATGGACGCTATTTAAGATGTTGGACTCATCAGGTATACCAATCAGTATTTGTTCCATAGAAAAATTGATAAGATCTCAAAAATAAACTAATGAGATAATTAAATTTTTGATTTTTTAATTAGGTCAACCTGGTTGCAACGAGTTGTTTTTCGATAAAACAAAACTCCTAAATGGATCTAAAGTCGTTGCTATAAACCCGTACTTACGTCGTACAGTAAAAGTAGCTCATGATGTCGACTCGATAAGCTATGCAATGCCCTACATTTCGAGAAAAACTTTTAAAGAAATTTTTTCTATTTTAAACGTAAGACCTTTAATTTATTACTCTGATCCCAGGATAAAGAAAATCCCTTTAGTCCAAACCCACAAGCAATTGATCAACGATATGATCAATGGTATATATGACATTTCTTTAAAGTACTCAATTATCACAGATGATACTGTTGATTTTCTTTATCCAAGAATTTCCGAAACTTTTTTTATAGTCACCCATCACAATAAAGTTCTCTCTTCTTCAGGAGAAACGGAATTTGTTTTCAGTATTGAAGTAATTATTCTTACTGTTATATTGTTTTTGCAATAACGTGGATTATATTGACACTCTGTAAAAGGCCGTCAATTGGATCAGGTTTACTTGAAATTTTGCGATTAATATTAAGTACAAGTATTCTTTTAAAATTCTATAGAAATTCGCTAAAAATTTTCGTAGTTTCCATACTGATTTTTGTTATGTTTATGAATAATATTTATCAAGGCCATATGTCGGCATATTCAGGAAAAATTTACCGGGAAGAAATAAATAGCATCAGTGACTTACAAAATTCAAAATATACAATTTATATGCAACCATATCTTACAAAAACTTTCGGAGTTAGTTTATGGACAGATGCCCAGAAAAAATATGTACAGTTTATAAATTGGATTCCTTGTACATACGTTTATGGCGGTAATGATTCTCGGACAGCATGTTTAGCTACTTTGATCTATCCATCGAACGTTATAAATTTTAATTTACGTGTACTTTTATACAGTAATCAACAAATTTATAGTCTAGGAATTCGAAATGACTGGCCTCTTAAACCTCGAGTTGACTACATCATGTCACAATTGTCTAAAGGGGGTTTTTTGCTTTTGTGGGACAATCGTGCAAGAGGTGAACTACTAAGAATAATAAACGCTAGGGAAAGTAAAATATCCATTCAGTATCGACCAATTGTTATGTCAGATTTATACTCGACTTTTCTATTTATGGTCATTTCTTTATCGATATCAATTCTTGTTTTCATTGTTGAAGTTTCTATTCCACGATTGCGCTTATTTATCAAATAAATACAATTAACATGCACTAATGAGTAATGAGTTATGAGAACACCATCAAATGCTTAGAATTATAGAAGAGATATAAATTACAATTATCAAGTTGAATTCTCGTTTGTCGTGAGCGTGTTGATTTTCAAACAATTTCATATAATAATTCTTCAATTGCATCAATTAATTTTTAACCAATTATCAAAAAAACAGTTATCTGAGCCAAAAAAATGTTTTCAATTTGGTACACTTGGCTCAAAATTATATTATTTCGCAATTTAGAAAAAAAATTACTCTTGCAAGAAAATATTGAATTAATATCTACGATTTGTTACAGTTTTAAACACAACTCAAACCTTTCTAGTGTGAAACTATAAAAATTACATTTTAGGCAATTTTATACTCTGCAAATGTTAACATATATGGGTGATTCTCTGTAAGGACGTCTTAAATTTGTATAAAATAGTCCGACCAAATTATTTTTGATTTTATTACAAAAAAAAATTAACAAGGGCTACAAAACTATCAGTTTAATGATAATAAATAAACAGTCAATTGAATTTTTGTTTTTTCAATATTTGTGTGTCTTTTGCCATATAACATGACAGGGGACTGTTTTTTTTTTTATCAAATTGAAAAAAATCAAGCTAACTATTTCAATGCATTCAACTTTTCAAGTTTTCAACGAATGTTTGCATTAATTAGAATAATATTAAGACTTATGGATCCAATTTTATAAATAAATTATAAATAAAAATAGTTGCCAGGGGACTGAGTTTTGAAGTGGCCCAGATACATATTTCCAGCACAAACGGTGCTTTGACACTAAATAAAATGCCGATAAAGCGCTAACAGCTCTATGGTTATTAACTCAAGGCTAGTTAGATCCTTGCAAACTTTACAAAAGGTAAAATAACACGCTGGATTTTTTTTTTTGGCTTTGAACTTCTGGCAGAGGACTGTTCTTAAAATGCCTGGGACAAACTTTGATTTAATGAATTTAATGAAACAAATTAACTTTCGGTACTTTTTATTGAAGAAGATTGTTAGTTTACTAATTAAGTTCATAAGCATCATGGACCAAATATTATATTATGGACGAATAACTTAAAATTTAATCTTAAAGTTTTAATTTTGGAAATGGGATAGCCCAGGGGACTGTTATTTCGGTGGTTTACGAATTTATAGCAAAAAAACCAAAATTTATTTTATTTTAGTTTTCAATGCTCCAAATAGAAATGTTTTTTTACTTTCGTAATAAATTTTTTTTAGTAACAAAATAACAATTTTTCTAGTAAAAAAATGCCCGGGACAGCAAGAAACGTCCTTACAGAGAATCATCCATATACTTTTTCATAAATTGTTGAACTTTAATCCGTCATTTATAAATAATCAGACGGTCAAAAATTCTTTTTTATTTTTTTTTAAACTCACAACAAATACATTAAAAGACTGTCAGTTTTTTGAAAGTTTATGACAATTAGTATTTTTTTTTATAACTAAGAAACTGGTTCAGAACTGCAGAGAGTATGCAATCAATGTTAAATATTCAATTTTTAATTGAATTCATCTCGGGTTATAGATGCTGGTCAATCGACTTCAAATTTTAAGAGTAATTGTATCATCATGTCCTTAATAGGCATTAAAAAATTTAGAATTTTCTGACGCTATGCCTTAACCACGACAACTACCTTAATTATAATTAACGTTTCTCGTTTATTTAAAACTTTGTGTTTACTAAAAAATTTTTCCAATAAAAAAATGCCTGGGACAGCAAAAAACATCCTTATAGAGAATCACCCATATACCATATAATCCATGAAATATTGCGACAAAGACAGTACGGTGTCTCTCGATGAATGTAAAAAGAAAAATAGATGAGAAATATTCTTAAGATAGAAAATCTACTTCTTTTTATTTCCAATTAAAATTTTTCTTCAATTAAAAAAAAAAAAGCACAAAGCATTAAAAAGCACCGAAATAAATATACAATATTGTTTATTAATATAATGACCAAAATTTTTAAAAAATTTATTACATCTGTACTTAAAATTATAAATATTTGTACAAGTTGATTATTAATAAAATAATATCTAACATAATGAAATAAAATTTTATATATTTGATTTTTTTATAAATCACATTAACGAGTGATCATCAAAAGGGCTGAGTGGCTGATCAGTAGTTGTTTGCGTTATCAAAACGTTGGGTGGATTCGTACTGACTGATGAAACTTGCGAAACACTTGGAGTACTTACATGGCTGGTATTAGCCATACAAACAACAACCAATTTAGAACTATTAGGTTGTATCTGGGATTTTTGCTGAATACTAGTTGACATAACTTTTATTTGTTGAGGCGACTGTTGTTGGCCGGGCTGAGATTGCTGTGGTTGTTGCTGTTGTTGAATAGTGGTACTTGTTGGTGTTTGAGATCTCGATTGTAGAATAACATATTTTTGTCCACCAGGCGTTGAAGTGACCGTCGGATTTCTACCCGGACCTACTACTATTGTTCGTTGCTGACTTGGGCTTGGATTTGTCACTGAGATATGCTCTATAAAATAATTTATATTTATTCACATGTTTAACGTTAATCAGTTTTGTATGATTATTTTTTAAGAATGTGTAATTATTTTTACAGCATTAATTTAACAAAAAAAAATTACCGCTTTGAATCAAACTCTTGCTGCTCATAGTGGGATTTTGTTGCTGATTAGTTGTTAAACTAACGGCTGTTGGAGTTACTGCTGTCAGAGGTTGCGTACGTGCTTTTGCAACAGCTGAACATAACATTGGACCCATATAACCGTAGTCGAGTTTATATTCTTCCACAAAGTCTGGTGGTGAGCGTATTGTTTTCAAAACTGGAGCGACAGTTTTCTGTAAATAAAATAATATATTTTTTAAAAAATATTATTAATTAATTCATGATGTCAAATATAGAAAAGGAAATAATTGTTTAGTTTTACAATCTATAATATTTAAACCTATAAAAATATTTACAATTTTTTTTTAAAAAATTAAACAATTTACATTTTAAAAATTTTTTTTCTTAATTATTTTTTTTACACGTGGAATACAGACATAATACTAAAAATCGTTTAACTCGTTAAAAAACGCAAACAAAATTTTTACAGCTAAAAGAGAATATATAAAAAAATAGTCAAAATAGTTTTTAAGGACGTCAAAACGTCGAGATCTGATAAAAAATTGATTTTTAGAGATTGAACTTACAACACTATTACAGCCCAATTTTTTAAACTTTTCTATCGATTTTTTTAAACAAAAATTAGAAATTTTATTTTAATTTATTTCAATGAATTTCGACAAAATACAAAAAAATAAAAATTTCAAAAAATTGGAACTTGTCAATATTTTCAGACTGGCTTCTATCAATGTTTTCATTAGATTTCAATATTTTAGTCCTTAGAGGCTATTTTGACTTTATTTTTTATATATGCCTTTTTGGTTTTAAAAATTTTTTTTGACTTTTCTAATCAAATTTTTTACTTTATTATAATTTTAAGTGTAAATTGAAAAAAAAAATTTTTTTATACACTCTTTTAGCATTAGTAACGCGACATTCAAAAAATCAAGAGACTATAAAACTAAACAATTATCGAAAAAAAAAAAATCTAAAACAACAGACTATAATTGATATTTTTAATCAAAATATAAAGATAAAAAAAAACAACTTACCATTAATACAGTTTTAATATGTCCAGCAGCATTTTTATCAATATTAGATGTTAATCCTTCCGCAGAGTTTTCAATACGGTCTGAAATAGATTTTATTTTTGGTATCACCAAACTTTTGATTACTTCAGGGCCCAATTCACAAAGACCGCTTATTGCCCCATAAAGTGATGCTAACGGAGTCTGAAAAATTTATTATTTTTTAATAAAAACATAAAGATTTAAATAAACGAAAAACATTAATTATAATTAAGGTAGTTGTCGTGGTTAAGGCATAGCGTCAGAAAATTCTAAATTTTTTAATACCTATTAAGGACATGATGATACAATTACCCTTAAAATTTGAAGTCGATTGACCACCTATAACCCGAGATGGATTCAATTAAAAATTGGATATTTAACATTGATTGCATACGTTCTCTGCAATTCTGTACCAGTTTCTTAGTTATAAAAAAAAAAACTAACTGCCAGAAACTTTCAAAAAACTGACAGTCTTTTAATGTATTTGTTGTGAGTTTAAAAAAAAAATAAAAAAGAATTTTTGACCGTCTGATTATTTATAAATGACGGATTAAAGTTCAACAATTTATGAAAAAGTAAATGGATGATTCTCTGTAAGGATGTTTCTTGCTGTCCCGGGCATTTTTTTATTAGAAAAATTGTTATTTTGTTACTAAAAAAAATTTATTACGAAAGTAAAAAAACATTTCTATTTGGAGCATTGAAAACTAAAATGAAATAAATTTTGGTTTTTTTGCTATAAATTCGTAAACTACCGAAATAACAGTCCCCTGGGCTGTCCCATTCCCAAAATTAAAACTTTAAGATTAAATTTTAAGTTATTCGTCCATAATATAATATTTGGTCCACGATGCTTATGAACTTAATTAGTAAACTAACAATCTTCTTCAATAAAAAGTACCGAAAGTTAATTTGTTTCATTAAATTCATTAAATCAAAGTTTGTCCCAGGCATTTTAAGAACAGTCCTCTGCCAGAAGTTCAAAGCCAAAAAAAAAAAAATCCAGCGTGTTATTTTACCTTTTGTAAAGTTTGCAAGGATCTAACTAGCCTTGAGTTAATAACCATAGAGCTGTTAGCGCTTTATCGGCATTTTATTTAGTGTCAAAGCACCGTTTGTGCTGGAAATATGTATCTGGGCCACTTCAAAACTCAGTCCCCTGGCAACTATTTTTATTTATAATTTATTTATAAAATTGGATCCATAAGTCTTAATATTATTCTAATTAATGCAAACATTCGTTGAAAACTTGAAAAGTTGAATGCATTGAAATAGTTAGCTTGATTTTTTTCAATTTGATAAAAAAAAAAAACAGTCCCCTGTCATGTTATATGGCAAAAGACACACAAATATTGAAAAAACAAAAATTCAATTGACTGTTTATTTATTATCATTAAACTGATAGTTTTGTAGCCCTTGTTAATTTTTTTTTGTAATAAAATCAAAAATAATTTGGTCGGACTATTTTATACAAATTTAAGACGTCCTTACAGAGAATCACCCATATTTCTTTTGATATTTCAGCACAACGTTGAAAATTTTTGGTATGCCTATTGCCATATATTTTATTAGTTCAATTACTGGTCCCGAAGCGTTCAATTACTACGGCTTACCAGAATTGATTGTTCAACTACTACTCTTTTTATAGTCTATCTTAAAAACGTTGTCAAAATATAAATATTCAATTGTCTCCGTTATTTTGCACTCCAATCAATTCAAAATTGTTTATATTTGTTGGATTCTCTGAGCAAAAATAAATTCCAGTTACAAACTTTTAGTTTTATATTTTAGATATTTAGTTCTTAGAAATATTTATTTTAGAAAAAAAACGTATTTTTCTTTTATTAGTTTTTATATGTGAAAAACACATTTGAGGCACATTTGTGCAGCTAGAATAAGAAAGCCCGTATAGGCTTGATTTTATGACCTTAGGTACTTGAGTTGTACAAAGGACTCTCTATTTTACACTGTACAGTACAATCAAATATTACGGTCTTAGTTAAGATGAAAAACATGTGTTTTACTAAGGACAATACAGAGGGTTAGACCTCACAATAAAATAGTTTTTAACATTATAGTTAGTCTGCGACTAATATAGGTAAAGTAACGACACTTCTCTCGATACGATGAGTGTTCCAATAACAGCAACTCTTCGCACAGTTGGACACTCAAAAAACCTTTGCTCAGGGATGTTTTGCGTGAGAGTTACCAACGAGTCTACATAAAATTAAAAGTATTTTTTTTTGTATTGAGTTGGTATAATTAATGTTTATTTTATTATCTATCAAAGTTATTATTTTTGACGATTGTAAGTGTATTTTATTATTGTTGATAAATAATTATTATTGCAATAAAATTAAATATATACAATAACACAAATTATATTTAACTATCATATTTTTATATCTAATATTTAATTATTGATGACTAACTTAAGCGAATTTATATTCTTTCTATTCTTTTATCTTTATAAAATGAAATCATTTTTTAGATTTTTATATTTGTAAGCATTGTCATGATATGATTTTGAATTAGCTGTTTAACATGAATGTTTTCAAAGATTTTAAAGATTTAAATATACAGGTAAACAAATATTTAGATTTTTAGATTGCCAAACTTTCGAATTTTTGTTCAAAACGAAGCAATACCAACGCGATCTACTGCTGCATTTCTTAACTAATCTGTTTCAATTAAACTTGTGCTAATGCGGCACCGTGCGGCAATGAGTCGCATTGTGCTCTCGTAATTGGAAAACTACCATAAACTCTGTCAAGTAACGACACTTCTCTCGATACGATTCTTTTTCGTTAAAATAAAGATTCTATTTGAATCACTCTATGTGGATAATAATATTGTTTTTCACTTTATTTATTATTAATCCTATCCATAACTTCCTACAATATTTTTATGAAAATCACTTATTTGAACTAATAATTACATCTTTATACATTGAAAGTAGGGTCAAATAAGTTTTACTTTGAAACCTGTTCAACTACTGGGTACTTTACCTTATAATAAAAGCAATTTGATGAAAAAATTTCGTTTCTCCCTATACAAAAATTTAGAATTTTCTGACGGTATGCCTTAACCACGACAACTACTTAAAGTAAACGAGATACATTAATTATAATTAAGTGACACATTTCAAGTAAGTAATTCTAGACTTAGTAATACTTACTTGACTGTTTTTCGTTAAAGCGTGACTGAACATCCTGGTAACACGCGTTTGAACATTATTAGTCGAAGTGTTAAAATTCCGACAAATCTGACCCATCAATCTTGATGCAAAATCACGGAGTGCCCAATGATTATCCGCCTCCGGTCTCATGCACAATTGTTTCGAGACAATACACGTAGCAACAGATGGTATGAGCTCATGAAGATATTTTTCCAAGTATAAACTCGGATTATCGAGCAACGCTTTAACCATTCTCATCAGGTAAATCAATAATGCCAGATTATTTTGTACTACGTTAACTCGAACACCCTCGGCAATAAATGTGCACATCCTAGCCAGCATTTCATGGAGCCCTGGATCTGCGGATAACGATTGAAGGGCCTCAGCTCTACGCGCTTCATCAGAACCCACACAAGCTTCTGTGATTTCTTTGTAGTACAACTGCTGCTCCACACTTAACTCATGAGTCGCCAATTGTTTAACATGAACTGTTTCGACATTTCGCAGCTTTTGGCTTTTACCTCCACCTCCTGGTTTTCCTACACCAACGTTCGTTGTCTTGGCAACAAGCTTCGCTGTTGGATCCACACTTTCAAGTTTTTGAGATTCTGAAAAGTATTTTAGAGTTAATTAAATTCAAAATTATTTCGATAATAAAGAAAAAAATTGTGAAAATAATTATAATGTGATTGGCAAACATCTCACTATTTTTTTTTGCGAAATAAATTGGTACTTGTAAAATATTGTTAAAAATTGCATTTTTTTTAATTTTTTAATTAAGAAAAAACTAAAAAAACGGTTCAGAAATCTCCTAATTTTAATCTACATAATTAAGAAATAAGGAAAAATTTGTTTCAGGCTTTTCAATGTGATAAAATGAGTTTTTTAAATTAAATTTAATATCATTGGAAAGGTTGAGACTTATGCCTTTTTAATGTTTCATATGCTTCTTTAGCAATTGTTATTTATTATGAAAAAAAATTAGTTAATAATTAAAAATATTTTAAAAATAAATTATAGTGAGAAAAATTTATCTAAAAAATTTCACATTTAAAAGTTTAAAAAAATTATAAATACAGTTAATATATTATGATAAGTTTTCGAAGTTGTTATAAATAGATTTAAATTTCGCGACAAAAAAAATTTGTTTATTTATTTATTTTCTTTTATTTATGTCAATGTGGTTATATTTCAAAAGTTAATTTATATAATTAAGAGACTAAAAAAAATTTTGTGACGAGGATATTATTATTTTTAAATGAATTTTTATAGTGAAATTTAGTGTCATTGTTAAGGTCTTGACTTGGATTTGTGCCTTTTCAAGGTTTCGTACAAGTCTTATCGATAGTCAAGTTATTATAAGTATTGAGACTACATTCGAAAATGCTCTATTTCTAGATACATAATTAAGAAATGACCTTTTTATCTTGTAAAATATTGACATTTTTAAAGATATAAGCTCATCCCGATGTTAGATTCATCGAGACTTTTTATTTGAGTACCCACATCAATTTTTCATATATTTTATATATTTATATATATGTATATATGAAAAATATATCAAAATGCATGTGGGTACTCAAATGAAAGCTCTTGATGAGTGTAACATCGGAATGAGCTTATATCTTTAAAAACGTCAATATTTAAGAAATGATCTTGTATTTTGTGAACTATTTGCATTTTTAAAGATATAAGCTCATTCCGATATTACACTCATCGAGACTTTTCATTTGAGTACCCACATCAATTTTCATATATTTT